CTTATATGTAGAGATAAATTTTTGAATCAAACATTATCACGTGACTGCCGATTTTTTATGGCACTACTAACCTACTAACGTAAGTACTTTTCTACGATAATTTTAACATTACGTATAAATGTCAACACGTTCAATATTACTAAATTTTCGTTTAAATACTTGCCCAACATGTTTAGTTCTGTAGTGTGTTTAGTCTGTGAAAACACATCATATATTTCAAATTACAATGTAATTTATATAACATAAATTGTAATTTAAATGTATATAACGTAACATAAATTGTAATTTATCAATCATGCTGAAATCAGTAACTTAACCGGATCGTCCAAAAGACCATTCGGCAAATTTTTATCAGATGTTTCAGGAATTATGAAAACAGCTGTAAAACATACATATAAAAACTTTTCTTCAAAAGTTTCCAAAATTTGACCTAATTAAATTTGTATGGCATATATATGTACGTATACAAAACAATAAGATCACGTAGCGTTTTAACATTCACCATAATTCTTAATTAACGAATCATAATTTATTTTTTGACAATAAAATTCTTATTTAAATTTATATTATTAATAATTCCAATAATTCCGGAGCTAGTTTATACGTATAAAATAAATTGTACCTTAAAATTATAAGGCCGCACAAATTTAATATCTTGGTTTTCATAACATGAAACTTTCAAACAGACCCGGCCGGCCGGCTTTTTTTTTTTAAATTTCATATATAAAAATTTTATAAAATTTTTTAAAAAGCCTACCCGGTTATTAAAACATAAAAATTTTTTTTTACAAGATTTCAAATTTTGACCCGGCCGGGTTATGAAAACCAATTAATTAATTTTGCATGGCCTAATTAAGAAATTCCAAATCCACTTAAATTCCTCATCCTAATCATTATTATAAATATTTTATTAACATCGCCCTTAAAATATTCCTCCATATATACTGATTAAAATCAGCTATCCAAGTGATATAACAAGTTTTATTTTTATCAAAATTCACAATCATTTTTAATGTTTTTTATAACAAAACAATGATTTTATTATAATTTTTTTTTTGTGTTAGCACATATACTGCATATAAAAAAATAATAATACATATTTTTTTCTCTTTTTGATCGTCCATTTCATTTCACCTTAGCTAATTTAGTCAATGAAGGATAAATAAAACTTATTACCACCAAAACCCTATATTATATAGGGTTTATAAAGCCAATCAAATTAATAATCATCCATCTTTTTGTATTATAATATATAAATATCTATTCAACCTTAATCCTGATCTCTTATAAAGTCCATCCTGGTTAGTTTTGATATTAAATGCGCATATGTTGTATTTATTAACATTAATTTAACAAATTTGATTGGTTTTTGAGTCTGATACTATTGATCGAAAATGGGATATATATTTGGGTTTTGGTTTTGAACCCAAATTAAGTAGAAATCCTGTTTCCCAAACCTAAACTATGTAATAATGTCATAATTCAAAAACTTGGTTTGGGTCGAAACCCTATAGACCATCCTCTCCACGTGCATCTATGGGTTTGTAACACTACTTTGGCTTCTCAATGTCTTACCACGTAAGGAATTCTTTAGAGCACGCATGGCAAATATGGTTAATCCAATACCTTGCCAATCTTCATCAATTAGTGCTCGTAAATTGCCAACAGTCTCGATTTCTTGTCTTTTTAGTTTTTCCGTCCATTCCTTTGCTTTTTCGGGGTCTTTGTTTGTTGCAAGGACAACTTCACGAACAAAATCTTCAATTGGTGTATTATCTGGATACTCTGTAACAATATCGTAAATTTAATGTTAGAACAATTAATAAGAATTCTGCAAATGTAATTCAAATTCGGACCTTTAACGGGATGTGTATCATCAAATTCTTGATTCCATTCTGCCTGTCCACCAGAAAAGGAATTCTTTCGCGGTGGTAATTGTGAATCTGTCATTATTTGTTGCTGTGATAACGTGCTAGTTGGGCTATCCCCACCGAGGGCCATCGGCGTAGGAACAGGTGTATGAGAGGATCTCTGGGGTTGTAAATGTGGAGACATTCCCACATGAAAAGGCGGTGTTATTGGTTGTGATGGCCATGATGTCTTGTGCTCTTCTTTCTTTGATTCATCCTCACTTGTTGATTTATTAATTTCACGTAAAATACGATTTATCTCATGAGTTACAAGTTGTTGATACTGATCTTTAAGAACTTTCTCCTCGATCTTTATAAATAAAGTGCAATGAGAACATAATGGAAATAAACCTTTCAAGTATAAAATAATAATTATTATCGTAATTATCGTACAGACATGTTGTTATTGTCATACCAAATTTTGATCATATTTTAAACCTAATAATAACTAATGCTAAAGAATTTTACACAAAAATACTACATAAATATAAAACCAAAATTTCGGTTTATACCATTTTAGTACCACATTACTTATTTGTATGATCAAATACCCATGATAATAACAACTTCCTGACGATAATAACGTTATCATACGAGTCTGGGAACCGGTTTTAACGTATGACAAATAAAACTGGTTCCAAATTCTAATTATATGAAGGCAAAAAAGGTACAAATGTTCATCAGTAATCGAACCAAATGTCTGTCAAATGTATTTGATGCGACCACAAAACATCTTACAGATATACGATTCGATTTCTGATCTATACCTTCACTATCGTACTTATATATATATATATATATATATATATATATTTTTACCCACTATTCGATAACTTATAATAATAATAATAATAATAATAAGTAATACATTAATTACCATTTCATTAACGACCTGTTCTGCTGTGTCTTTTTCAACGTTAAATTCAAACTTAACGGATAATTTATCCATTCCTTTGAAAACAACTTGCAGGGTTAGTTGAGTTTTTGCGTTATCTGCAGTTAATAACACCACTTCTGGCTCTACTGCAAGAAAACGATGTTCCATTATTTGCTGTGCAGTGTACCTTTTATATTAAAATAGATTAAAACTATTGTCAATCACATGATTGATTACTCAATGTGTAATAAATTTAAATGTTATTTTTATCAAAAGATTACAACCTTTCATTTTCGGGATCTAGACAATGTCTTATCAAGTCTAGGATATCTGGTTCTGTAACCCTAGTTAGACTCAACGGCTTTATGCCCTATAAACAAAATTAATAGTGTGTGGAAATATCAGTACAAAGTTGGATATATAAGAACTATTTTTTAAAATAATAATAATAAATTGATGAAATTAACGTAAAAATAGTTACCGAAGTGACTTTTTTATATACTTGAGGTGCATTCTCGCATTCAATGTATGGATATTCGCCGGTAACCATTTCAAGAAGGCACATGCCAAACGCATAGATATCGACCTTTTCGCTATATCCTTTTTCTTCGTACATTTCGGGAGCCATGAACTCAGGAGTCCCTACATTTTATAATTTGCGAATAAATAATTCGCAAACATTCATTTAGAATGCCGATTGTTGAGGTATCGGGCACCAATATTTAAAACCACGATAGCAAACCCAGCTGGGATTTGTTACTACTGCATACCGATGACGGTATACTTTTTTTCCCAACTTCATCTTGGCCGTTCCCATGTCACCAATTTTCACTTCCCCATGCGCGCCATTGATAAAGATATTGTCACATTTGATATCACGATGAATAATTGGTGGATTATGTGAATGTAGGTATATAAGACCTTTGAGAATTTGACGTGACCATCGTTTCACTATTTTCGTATTTGGTAATGAGAGTTTTCGAATATATCTGAAAAAAAAATTGTTACGATGAAAATGGATTTATTTGATAATTAATCGCATCAACTTAGTATCAAAGCTTTTACGGTGAAATAATGCAAGAATATAATAAACCCACTGCCGCAAAGTTCCAGAAGTCATTAATTCTGTGACGAAAATGAATTCGGCATCCTTATACCAACAATCATGGAAGTTGATTATGTTTGGATGGCGAACCTGCTTTAAAATTTTTATTTCCAAACTCAAGTCATTAAACTCTGCTCTCGTTGTCTAAAGTTAGAAATTTGAAAATAAGTAAAATGTGTTATCAATTAAAGTAGAGAACGCGCATTGGTTGTAAAAGCGCGTCCTTGCCTGAAAGCAGTTCCACGCGACTTCATAACCTTCTTCACGATCAATAGCTTTATAAACTACTTTATAAGCACCTTTACCTAAAATTGTGTTTAGCTAAATGCAAAAACAAGGATAAAGAATTTAGTAGCTCTGATAAGTACTTTGACCATGCCACACACAATTCTCTGTACACCTTTTAAACAGGTTTTTTTTTTTAAAGGAATCAACTATTTACTTTGGCATATCTGCAATTTGGACTTTCTTCAATTACTGTTTCTTGATCTTTTGTATAATCGTGAGAGTGTGACTCCTGAAAATTCCCCTGTGCTCTTGAGTAGTTCACTTCATTTCCACCGAATTCTGCCAGGTTAGAGGTTCCGTTAAGATATTGTGGATATTCTTCGTGAGGTGAAGAATGTCCATTTTTTTCGGGATGATGATCCGCCATATAAATATTACTCTTGCAATTTCTATCAAGAGACAATAACTGTTATATGGCAAAATTCCGATCGTAGTCGTTATAGTCTAAGTTTGGCAGGTCAGGCGTTTTGGTAAGTGTCACTTGATTACGTATCTTCCTTAATTTACACCAGGTCTGTAGAATAACTGGAATAACTGTCCTTTAATTAATTACACTGAAAATTTGTATGTAATTAATATTTGCAATACATGATAGCATAAAAATTTTTTAATTATAAAATTGTATTTGTTCTAGAAATACAGAAATATACATACGTACGTATTTAAAAAACAATTAATATATATAGTTAACTCTTCTTTAAGTGCAAGCTTTATGTTTACGTATGAATTTATGCTTAGCTCTTAAGCATATTATGTACCTTTCTACGCATTACTAGGAAACGAACACCGTTATAAGTCTGGTGCAAAATCACATGAGATTTGTTGTGTTGCGCAAATACGCATATAGGGTTCGTGGCATGAGGGTATGCCATTTAGTCTAAAGGCATGCTATTAATTATAATTATATATATGGATATATATATAGATATAATTTTGAATAATTTTTTTAAAAATCCAAAAATTTGGTATATTAAATATATATAGTAATATATTAAATTTTTTTACGATTATCGTTATAATGCATTACGTAGGAGTAGTGTTTCATAGGTTTCATAAAAATGTAGTTGTGTGATTATTAAAAAAAGTAATTTGTAAATAAGTTTTTATTATGCAAATTTGCTGTATAGATGTTTGTAATTAAATATTAAGAATTTTGTTAGTGATTATTTGGGTTTGAAATATTTGTAATACTGATACTAGAATAAGTTACGAATTTTAATAATAAATTTTTATAGCTAAGATAAAGTAGATATTAGAGTAATTTTTATATATAAGAGTAGTAAAGTTTATTATATAAGTAAGGTTATTAAGATAGCTTTATTAATTTATTAAAGTGATAAAGAATAAAGCTTAGAGTTAGTATTGTTTAATAATTGTAAAATTTTATAGTATTTAGTTAGTAGTATTTAGTTTACTAGAAACCGGGAATCTGAAGCTCATTTAATGTTTTTAGCCTCTAAAAAGTCTTGTAAATCAAATTTTTCAGGGCGTTACATCCGGAAAATACCAAAGCCGCATTTTTGATATTTTTACTATAAATGTATCAAAAACGTATTGTTTGATATTTTTACTATAAATATATCAAAAGCGTATTTTTTGATATTTTTACTATAAATATATCAAAAACGTATATAATTTCAGTCATCAAAGGGCATAAAAATATGAGTCTGTCGCTTCATTTTAGACAATTATAACTTTTTATATATAGTATAGTGTGATATAATAGAATTTTATATAGGTAATTTTTTAATCTGGGTCAAAGTACCATTATATGATCTGTTTATTTTATATAACATGAACTAAAATAAAACCTAATCAGAGAAGATTTGGCAATTTCAGTAAAGTTATATAATTTTATTACTTAAAATTATCTAATAGAATTGCAAGTAAAATTATAAACAAATTTATTTTTTTTAATTTAGCAATCCTGTCTCTGTTTATTTAAGATTAAATTATTCAAAAAATTTTATATAAATTTCTATCTATAGTTGCATTAATCTAACTAAACAAAAAACTTACTTAGTTTATATTCAGATATAACCTATTTTAGTAGCTATTAGCTTTTTTTTAAATTCTTAATTTACTAAGAACTTATTTTTCTTTAATTATAGACTGGCAACTACATGCCTTGTTAGCATTATCTTTTTTTTTTTTTTAACATATTCTGCTACTGTTTATTAAAAATATAAACCAAGCAAAAATTATAAGAACTTTTGACTAGAGTTATTATTTATTAACTACAACAAGTAATTCACTCAACTTTTAAAAGCTTAGATGTGATATCACCTAGTAGCTAATTTGCTTTTCTTCAGGTTTCTAACTTACTAGAAGCATAAATTCTTTGATTATTAGCCAGTATTACATGCTATATTAGTATCATCTTTTTTTTTATAATAAAGAAATACAAACACAAATTCAAAGAGCAAAAAAAAAAAAGGGTGATACCTTGATATTTAAATTTAATTTATCTAATTAATTGATGATTCTCCAATAAACTAAAGAATTATTATAGTATAATACAAACAGTTCTATATATAAATTATATAGACAGAAATATGAAGATTTTTTAAAGAAATATGATGTTTGCTCAAAAAAAACTTTTTTTACTAAATAAATTATCTTTGGGCTTCTAACAAAAGTTGTAGAGCTCATCAATATATATTTAATAATAATAAGAATATTAAAATTGGCTTGGTGGTTCTTAAAAAATCTTTAAAAAATATTTTGCTAATATATAAAATTTCTTTAAAAAAAATTAATTTTTTTAAAAAAGATTTTATATAGTCAACAAATATTTTTTAAAGATTTTTCAAAAACTACTAAGCTAATTTTAATATTCTTACTATTATTAGATATATCTTGATGAGCTCTACAACTTTTGTTAGAAGCTCAAAGATAATTTACTTAGTAAGAAAAAAGTTTTCTTTGGGCAAATATCATATTTCTGTCTTAAAAGATTTATATATAGAACTATATTATATTATATTAAAATAATTCTTCAGTTCACTAAAGAATCATTAAATAAGTTAAACCAAAAAACATATAGAGAAAAAAAACAAAGTAAAAAAAAAAAAACAAAGATAGTACTATTAAATCTATACCAGATTGTAAAAATTATATAATACTACTAAATAATCTAATTAGACACTATATAGTTATTTAAGTTTATATATTACAACTCTCCCTAATGATCACTTGTACCAACCAGTCTTCGAAAGCAAGTTGAAGACTCAAGACCAGAAGTGAACAAATAACTTGAAGTCTTCTTACTACAAACTGTTGTCGACGAAGTCTTAAATGTGATACACCGAGAAGCAGGCATTTTGGACGATTTGCAAAGGGGTTAAGCTTTGTTTTCTTCTGTAGCAAACTCCTTTTTGCATTCGGCATCCAAACCAGAGGAGTCTCTGAGAACAGCAAGTAGAAGAAAAACTCAAGTTATTTTGGGAACAGAAGGCTATGAAGAACTCTTGGAATAACACTCTTTGGTTAGAAAACTCGCAAAACTATACTTTTCGTCTGCTGTTTTCTTTTTTCATAATTTTCGACAAAAAGTGAGGGATTTGGTTACCCCCCTTCAAAAGATCAGCATTGTTTATATTTTCATTTTCGGAAGGTCTCGAGTTACGGTATGACGAATGAGAAATACAACAATCACGTGTGAGGAGGAAGTTCTATTTGGGTTAAATCGAAGTACGTGGAAGTTCTGTATTAGATCGGCTATGACTATACAGGAATGAAGGCCCTATGTGACGAACCTGAGAGAGTAGTTTTCAATGATACCAGTAGACCATAGGGAAAACCCTCTGTTTAATCTCGTATAATAAAGAAGCAAGACGTTGAAGACTGTTAGAAGATTTCGTAATCCAGAAAGAGCGGCTCGGTATAAATGGAATCGATAATCATGTGTTGAGGCTTTAAAATCAGCGTTTTAGAATTCAAGGTAGATTTCATGAGAGTTGTAAACTGGAGCGATATATTAGAGATATGCAGTATTCTGAAGTCATATGCATATAATTTTTAGCCCTTGGCACAAGTTAAAGTGCATTGTAGTTCTTAGTTTTTTTTTTATCAGATAGCTTTATGTATAGATTTCTATGACCATGTAGATAGTTTTTCACCTGGTTAGCAGGTTTTTATATCTGTAGACAAGTTCTTTTAAATCTTAGAATAGTTTTTTAGATTCCTTTATATTTTGGTCATTTTCTTATTTGTTTTCTTTTTTTACTTTCCCCATTTTCATTTTGCCCTTACCTCTTTTTTTTCTTTTTACTTCTCTACAAGAAAGTGTCATCAGATTGGTGGCACTCTATTGTAGAGTGGTGATTCTGACAAGGTCGGTACTTCCATCTGTTGATGTCCAGGGCTCATATCCTCAGTAAGTTGAGGATCCCAGAAGGAGAAAAATTATCACTTAGGCGGGTTGCTCCTGGGTCATATTCTAGCGTAAAAACTCTGGGCTTTGGCCGTGGTTTTTACTGCGATAATGAGACAGATCGAAAGAATCTTTATTTGTATAGGAATATAGTAGTTTAGAGATGTGCATGTAAGTCTAGCTAGCTGAGGACATTTTTATAATCTACTTCTAATAAATAAAATAAAGGTAGGATCGCTGAAATAAAAAAAAGTTATTTAAGTTTATATCTAGGATATTAAAAAGAAGAAAAAACTATCTGTTCTTAAGTAGAAATCTAAGTTCAAAAGTTCTGTTCTATTCTATTTCGTTCTTCTTAAAACTTTTACAATATAATTTAACTGTAATTTCTTATAAGTATACTTTTTATTCTAAAATAAACATATAAGGTAACTATGGGTATTGTGGCGGATAAGAATATTGTGGCAGATCTGCTATAACTCGTGACCCATCGATCAAAACTAAACGATTTTTATACCATTCGAATTGTCTCATCGAGACGATTCGAATGGTATAAAAATCGTTTGATTTTGATCATTGGATCATGAGATATTGGTGTTCGAATGTTATAAATCAAATTTTTTGAAAAAAAACTAATTTTATATTTGGACACTATTCTAACACCAATATCTTGTGACCCAGTGATCGAAATCAGACGATTTTTGTGCCATTCGAATCGTCTCGATGAGACGATTCGAATGGCATAAAAATCGTTTA